CGCCATTAACCCCAACCATAAAAAAAATAAAAAAAAACAAAAAAAAAAAAAAAAAAAAAAAAAAAAAGAAAAAAATAGCCAGGAATGGTGGCATGCTCCTGTAGTCCCAGCTACTTGGGAAGCTGAGGTGGGAGGATCGCCTGGGAAGTCTAGGCTGCAGTGAGCTGTGACCACTGCACTCCAGCCTGGGCGACACTCCAAAAAAAGAAAAAAAAAAGAAAACAGAGAAGGAAAGAAAATAACAAGCGTTAGAGAGTTGTGAGCTTTTAGTTCTTTGATTAGCAGCTTACTTAGGCTCTGGTTGGCTGTGAGTTCCCTGCTTTGTGGGCCGGCTTTCTTGGGCCCCTCTTCTTAGTCTGTGCCTTTTCTTTGAGCTCTCTCATCTTTGCCCATGGCTCAGATGACCATCTGTGATTTGCTGACCTCCAAATGTTTCTCTAAGTGAGACTACACGACCAGCTGCCTCCTCACTGGCCATCCCCCCCAGGTCTCTATCGGGCTCCTCACCCTCCACGTGCCCAGAAGGGGCCTTCTTGTTCATTCACCCGAAGCTGGTTCCCATGCTTGTCATTCCGCTGCCCTACCAGGACCTGAGGGCATTGCTGAGCCACCCCACTCCCTTCCCTCTCTAACTGAATGCCAAGCCTGTCAGCTTGACTGTGCTCTTGTGGCTGTTGGCACTGCCATCTCCATGGCTCAGGCTGCCACCCCCTCTCCATCCGTCTGTGGAGAAGCTGATGCTCACCCTGCCTCCACTCCACTTCCTCCATCCTGGCCTCCACAGGGAAGGCAGCTCTCCTGCTGAAATCCTCCACTTGGCCCACGGCCTATGGTAGACTTCAGACTTCCTAATCTGGGCAGGAGGACTTCTGCCATCTGGCCCTCGCCCCTCTCTCCCCATCTCATGCCACCTCCACTCCTCTGAGGCCAGCCCATTCCTGCACATTGGATATTACCTTGGCTGCAGGCCTTTCCTCTGCCATTCCTATGCCCAGAATGATCCCCGCCTCCCTGGAAGCCCCTTTGCCTGGCCAGCCTTCTTTTCTTGACCTAAATTTCCCTTTCTCCGAGAGAGCCTCCTACTCCACCCCAGGGCATTCGCTTCCTCCACATGCCCCGCGGTGCCCATTCTTTCAACTGTGGCAATGCTCACCACACTGTGTAGTAATTACTTAATTAATTGCTTTTCTCCCCAAGGGCTGGGATCCTACCAATGACCTTTACTGCACTGCCTGAACATTTTGGCATAACAGATTTAAGAAATCTTGGGTTCATTAGGTTGGTCAGTGGTTATCTGTTGCTTACTGTGCCTTGCTTGCAGGGTGGTGATGAGGAAGGAGCCAGGCTTCCAGGATTCTCTTGGTGTTCTTGGCTTTCTGCTCTGTCCACTTCTTTCCCCTCTTCTGTGGTTACCTCCAGCATGGGAGCTGGAGTTGGGTGGGGGCCAGTGGATGGCCACCTCATCCTGCTAGGGAGAGTAGCACCATTCCTCAGGGATCCTAAATCCTCCTGGCCTCATGGCAGCAAAAAATAAACAGAGGAAGTAAGAGATGTCCAGGCATGGAATGAAACATCTTCCACTTCTCAGCTGAGATCCTCTGTTCATAGCCCACCCATTCCTTACCCCAGAGAAACAAACCCAGGGATGAGTAGATGGAGGGGAATGCAGAGTTGCATGGATAATCCACTGGGCCCCCCTCCAACTCCAGCTCCCATGCAGCATCATACAGGGGTCTCCTTACTCCATGACCAGTCCCCTCAGCCCTGAAAAAGAGACCCTGCCAATGCAAGCAGCAGCCCAAAGACAGTCGTGGAAAGGTGCCATAGAGGTAGGGGAGAGGTGGACAGAGCAGGAAGCCAAGAACATCAAGAGAATCCTGGAAGCCTGGCTCCTTCCTCATCGACACACAGCAGGCAACAACCAGCAATGAACCAAAGATGTATTGAATCTACCATGCCTACTACGTTCAGGCAGTGCAGTGAGGAAACTGGTATGATTCCAGCCCTTGGAAAGAAAAGCAGTTAATAAATTAAGCTTTTTTTTTTTTTTTTTTTTTTTTTTTTTTTGAGACAGAGTTTCACTCTTGTTACCTAGGCTGGAGTGCAATGGCGCGATCTCGGCTCACCGCAACCTCCGCCTCCTGGGTTCAGGCAATTCTCCTGCCTCAGCCTCCTGAGTAGCTGGGATTACAGGCATGTGCCACCATGCCCAGCTAATTTTTTGTATTTTTAGTAGAGACGGGGTTTCACCATGTTGACCAGGATGGTCTCGATCTCTTGACCTCGTGATCCACCCCCCTCGGCCTCCCAAAGTGCTGGGATTACAGGCTTGAGCTACCGCGCCCGGCCCCAATTAAGCTTTTTTTTTTTTTTTTGGAGACAGGGTCTCGCTCTGTCACCCAGGCTGGAGTGCAGGGGTGTGATCTCGGCTCACTGCAACCTCCACCTTGTGGGCTCAACCAATCGCCTCACCTCAGCCTCCCCAGTAGCTGGAAACAGGCATGCACCACCACACCTGACTCATTTTTGTATTTTTTTGTAGAGATGAGGTTTTGTCGTGTCGCCCAGGCTGGTCTCGAACTCCTGGTCTCAAGTGATCAGCCTGCCTCAGCCTCCCAAAGTGCTGGGGTAACAGGCGTGAGCCACTGTGCCTGGCCTACTTAAGCAATTGCTGTGCAGTGTGATGAGCAGTGCCACAGCTGAAAGAGTGGGCACCATGGGCATGTGGAGGAAGTGAATGGCCTAGAGGAGTGGGTAGGAGGTAGGAGGCTCTTCCAGAGGAAGGGAAATTTAGGTCAAGAAAAGAAGGCTGGCAGGGTAAAGGAGCCTCCGGGAGGCAGGGGACCATTCTGGGCATAGGAATGGCATGTGGAAAGTCCTACAGCCAAGGCAGTAAGTGATGTGCAAGGATGGGCTGGCCAGAGGAGTTGAGGGGCTGGTGTTGGCTTCCCGGCATCCAGATAGGGAGATAGCAGAGTGACTAGTCTAAACAAGCACTAAGACCACACCTAGAGGTATCTGTCCCTTTTCTTCCTTTTTTTTTTCTTTCTTTTTTTTGAGATGGAGTTTCGCTTTTGTTGCCCAGCCTGGAGTGCAATCTTGGCTCACAACAACCTCCACATCCCAGATTCAACTGATTCTCCTGTCTCAGCCTCCAAAATAGCTGGGATTAGAGGCATGCACCACCATGCTGGCTAATTTTGTATTTTTCAGTAGAGACGGGGTTTCATCATGTTGGTCAGGCTGGTCGGGAACTCCCGACCTCGGGTGATCCGCCTGCCTCAGTCTCCCAAAGTGCTAGGATTATAGGCATAAGCCACCATGCCTGGCCTCACTTCTTTCTCTTTATTCTCCAGCCCCGCCCCCCACCTTCCCCAAACTCTAGTCCTATACCTCCCCTTATACGAAGATTTGGGACCTGTTACTGTTTCATCTACCTGTCTATCTAACTGTGCACTTATTAACTAAATATATATCAAGTGCCAGGCACTTTGGGAAGCTCTGAAGATCTAGTTGAGAGTAAGACAGATTCCCCAGTTCTCACACATTCAACAAATATTTATTGCACATTTACTGTGTACCTGTCATTGTGATAGGCACTGAAGATACACCAGGAAGTAAGATCCAGTCCTTCCTTTCCTCCTTCCCTCCCTCCTGTTCATTCATTCATTCATTCATTCACTCGCTCTCTCACACACCTCTGTTTGCATTGACCTGGTTGCAGAGCCTGGTGCATTTTGCTGACACCTTCATCTTTGACAGAACCTGGAGCATGTTTCAGTGCTCAGTGCTGTTTGTAGAGCTCAGCAGCAGACTTTGCCACACCTCATGCTGTTTGTAGAGTGCCTCACTGTTGCCCTCACCTGGCCTGTGACCCGAAAGCCCTGGCTCCAGCAGACAGGCAGGCAGACAGACGGAGAGACAGACAGACATAGACAACTGAGGTCTACTTTCAAGCTTGCTGCCTCCTACCCTGCTTTTTCTCAGGGGCTTGTTGGCACCATGGATTGCACTTTCAGCCCCCCACCGGCCCGTCTGCAAAGTGGCCTCACTGGTGTGCCATTTTTACTGGCCCAGGCCCAACTAGAAGGAAGAAGGGGCATGGCCTGGCCATCTACCCCAGTTCCTCTCCATGTCCCCATGGCTCTCAAGTCTCTGATTCCAGTTCTCCCAGCTGCCCTGGGCAAGAGGAGGTGTGTGTGGCAAGGCTGCTGGGTTACCTATTAACTCAGCTGTGAGCTGAAGAGCCACTGGGCAGCAGGCAGACACTGGAGTCTGCTTTCTATCCATGGGCTCGGGCCGCTGTCTCAGGTCCACCCGCAGCTCCAAAATGGTCTCCTGGTCCTGGAAAACAAGGACACAGCAAATACTGCAGAAGAAGTTGGTGCGAGAGTTCCTGGCCGAGTTCATGAGCACGTATGTCATGATGGTGAGTGGGTGGTGGGCAGCATGAAGTGGGTGGGGCTCGGCCAGGTCCATCCATGGCCCTCTCCCCATGCTGACCTGGTCACATTGTGTATTCCTTGCCTCTGAGCTGGGAGCCTGGGGAAGCAGCAGAGGAAAGTGAGGAGGAGGCCTTTCTCATCAAGTCTTTTTGGACAGAAAGGGATCATAATATGTGGGGGTCAAATGAAACCATGCACTGGGGTATCTGGGGCATGGCTGGAAGTGGTGAGAAGAGAAACCCGGGGTAAAGAGATTGAAGAGGGCCGGGCGTGGTGGCTCACACCTGTAATCCCAGCACTTTGGGAGGCTGAGGTGAGCGCATCACCTGAGGTCAGGAGTTCCTGGCCAACATGGTGAAACCCCGTCTCTACTAAAAATACAAAAATTAGCTGGGCATGGTGTCACACACCTGTAATCCCAACTACTTGGGAGACTGAGGCAGGAGAGTCTCTTGAAGCTGGGAGGCAGAGGTTGCAGTGAGCAGAGATTATGCCACTGCACTCCAGCCTGGGCGACAGGAGTGAAACTCCATCTCAATAAAAAAAGAGAGAGAGATTGAAGACCTTGACTATCAGGCTCTGAGAATGAATCCAGAGGGCAATGGGGTGATGCTGAAGGCTGGAAAGCAGGGGAGTAGTGACATGATCAGATTTGGATGTTAACAGTAATTTTGGGTGCAGTGTGGAGCATAAGCAAGACAGGCAAGGCTGGCGGGAGGGAACCAGTTAAGAGGCTGTTGTTGATCTGGGACAGAAAGAGGGTGGTGGCTGGTCTGGGGATGGAGAAGAAAGCGTGTGTTTGAGGGCTGTGGAAGATGGAATTGAGACTCTGCCAGTAGAAGATGTGGGCAAAGCGCCGATGAGCTGTTGTTCTGGAGCACGGGGCCAGCCCAGGGCGAGAGGTGAGGCTGGTTTGGATGTGAGCAGGCAAGATGCCCATGGATTGAGATGCCCGTGGAGAAATCCAGGAGATAGCTAAACACAGGCAGGGGCTGGAGCTCAGGAGAAGCTTGGTCTGAAAGGAAAGAGTTGAAATTCATCAGAACACAGGTGGTGGTTGTCAACATTGTCCAGGGAGAGTGCACAGAAAGAGAAAAGGATGGTTTGAGGACAGAGCCCTGAGGCATGAAGAGGTGCACGCAGAGGAGCCTGAGAAGGAACGGTCAGAGGGGTAGGAGGAGAACCAGAGGGGACTGCGTGATAGAGGGAGCAGTGGTCTACCAGGAAGAAGTCGTCAGTGGTGTGGGCAGCTGCAGATGGTCCATGCAAGGTGAGCACTGGCAAAAGGCCCCAGGGTTTGGCAACGTGGAGGTTGCTGGTAACCTTGACAAGGGCTTTTCTTTTTTTTTGAGACGGAGTTTTGCTCTTGTTGCCCAGGCTGGAGTGCAATGGTATGATCTTGGCTCACCGCAACCTCCGCCTCCCAGGTTCAAGCAATTCTGCCTCAGCCTCCCGAGTAGCTGGGATTACAGGCTCGCACCACCACACCTGGTTAATTTGTATTTTTAGTAGAGCCAGGGTTTCTCCATGCTGGCCAGGCTGGTCTCAAACTCCCGACCTCAGGTGATCTGCCCACCTTGGCCTCCCAAAGTGCTGGGATTATAGGAGTGAGCCACTGCGCCTGGCCTAGGGGCTCTTCTTCAGAAGTCTGCACATCCAGACTGCAGGCAGGTGTGAGGTTGCTCTCTCTCCACCTGCTTCAGCCCTGCCACTTACCCTAGCGGGCCTCGGCCCTTAACACGACTGTAGCCATGCTTATTGCATCTTATACAGGGTCCAGGGGCCAGGAAAAAAGAAGAGGCAGCCTCCAGGAAGAGAAGAAAAGGCAGCCAGGTGCATGCCAGAGGAATGTGGGGTGAGAGAGGCTGTTTGTGTGTGTGGTTATGATTATTAGTTAACTGCAGCTGTGTGTGTGCATGTGCATGCGTGCACTGAGCCAAAGTGCAGGAGATGGTGGGGCTTCCATGGAGCTCAAGGGAGAGAGGGAATCAGGACACCAGGGTTCTTGGCCTGATCTTGCCACTGAGTCACCAGTTGGCCTTGGGCAGTTCTCCCCCTGGCTTAAAGCCTGACTTTTCACGTATATTGCACAGAATTAGGCCTTTGCGGGATTTGAATCCTAGCTCTGTTATCTTCTAGCTGTGTGACCATCCACAAGTATCTTAACTGTTAACAAATTTAACTTTCTTGTTTTTGAGACAGGGGCTCACTCTGTCTCCCAGGCTGGAGTGCAATGGCACAATCTTGGCTCACTGCAGCCTCCACCGCCCATGCTTAAGTGACTCTCTTGCCTCAGCCTCCTGAGTAGCTGGGACTACAGGCATGTGCCACTGTGCTCAGCTAATTTTTGTATTTTTAGTAGAGATGGGGTTTCACCATGCTAGCCAGGCTGGTCTCAAACTCCTGAACTCAGGTTACCTGCCCACAACGGCCTCCCAAAGTACTGGGATTACAGGCATGAGTCACCGCACCTGGCCCACCACTCTAGCTCCCTTATTGGTCAACAGGAACATTAACATAAAGCTGGAGGACTTGTGTGAAGAAGGTCAAGTGCCAGCACAAGCATACATGTGGTACCCACGTGTTGATCCCTCGTTATTAGGACAGGTGCTCTCAGCTGCTCTCTCCTCTCTGTATGTGGTCCTCCCCTGCTCCTCTCTTACCTCCCCACCTGCTTCGGCTCCTGAGCTGTGAGGACAGCAGTTGGATCCTGTCCCTCCTTAATCCAGGGCACAGTAATTCACTTACGACAAGACATTCCAGCCCCATGAGGGCTGTTAAACCTTGGAACCTGGGAGGCAGGAGGGTGTGTTCTCCCAGAGCTGTTAGGAAAAGCAGGCACCGCCCACATGCTTGATACCTGCCCACATCTGTGTTTCTCTTTCTTTTATTGAGATTTTTACTGAGCACCTAACGCATCCTGGGCACTGTGATGCTAAGCCCCTTACATGTGTCTTCCCAAATCCTTGAAATAGCCCTGTGAAGTAGGTACTATCATCCCAGTTTCACAGATGGGAAAACTGAGTCTCCATGAGACTAAGCCTCTTGCCCAAGGTCACACTTTAAGTCAAGATTAAATCCAGTCCAGTCTAATATCACAGTCTTTTTTTTTGAGTTGGAGTCTCGCTCTGTCACCCAGGCTGGTGTGCAGTGGTGCAATCTCAGGTCACTGCAACCTCCACCTCCCGGGTTCAGGTGATTCCTGTGCCTCAGCCTCCAGAGTAGCTGGAATTACAGTTGCGTGCCACCATGCCCAGCCATTTTTTTTTTTTTTTTGAGACGCAGTCTTGCTCTGTTGCCCAGGCTAGAGTGCAATGGCACGATCTCAGCTCACTGTAACCTCTGCCTCCCACGTTCAAGCAATTCTCCTGCCTCAGCCTCCCAGGTAGCTGGGATTACAGGCACCCACTACCATGCCTGGCTAATTTTTAATTTTTACCAGAGGCAAGGTTTCACCATGTTTGCCAGGCAGGTCTTGAACTCCTAACCTCAGGTAATCTGCCCACCTTGGCCTCCCAAAGTGCTGGGATTATTGGCATGAACCATCACGCCTAGCACAATTTTTGTATTTTTAGGAGAGACAAGATTTCATCATGTTGCCAAGGCTAGCCTTGAAGTCCTAACCTCAGGTGATCCTCCCACCTCAGCTTTGCAAAGTGCTGAGATTACAGGCATGAGTCACTGCGCCTGGCCTAATATCACATTCTTGACCCTTAACCTCTTTTTTTTTTTTGAGGCGGAGTTTCACTCATGTTACCCAGGCTGGAGTGCAATGGCACGATCTCGGCTCACTGCAACCTCCGCCTCCTGGGTTCAGGCAATTCTCCTGCCTCAGCCTCCTGAGTAGCTGGGATTACAGGCACGCGCCACCATGCCCAGCTAATTTTTTGTATTTTTAGTAGAGACGGGGTTTCACCATGTTGACCAGGATGGTCTCGATCTCTTGACCTCGTGATCCACCCGCCTCGGCCTCCCAAAGTGCTGGGATTACAGGCTTGAGCCACCACGCCCGGCCATAGCTGGCTTTTAAAGACTCTGGCTTGTTAATGCTCCCCCAGATGGGGTAAGGTAATCACTTTCAGGTAGTTCAACACGCCTCTCTGGGCCTCAGTTTCCCCATCTATAGAGTGGGAGAAAAATTCTTGCTGTGCAGATTTGCTGTGAGGATTGAAGACAATAACACTTGTAAAAGAACTTTGTGAGGTGTAAGCCTATATGGGACATTGTGTTGTTGTTATTTTTAGTTGCCAGGCTGTGCCAAGAAGTGGGGGCTTTAATAGGAATCTCTGTGAGTCACCAGGGTGAAGGTTTTGCCAAAAAACCTAGTGTGACCTTGGCCCCCATTTATTGCAGCCAGGATGAGGGAAGTGGACGGATTCATGTTGCAACTTCCAAGGGCACTGCCCTTGGAGCTGGCCTCCTGGCTGTCAGAGAGACTTGGATGGGCTGGGCCATATTCTCTGATCAGGGAGAGGCGGGGCTGGAACCATCCGGGCCCTGAAAACCAGCCATACACGTGAGCCATGGGGCAAGGGTTGCAGATCACATGCTACGGGGCCAAGAGAGCCGCAACTCAGGGCGGGAGGGACTTTGGCTGGCTGCAGAGTGCCAGTCTGTGCAAGGCTGGAGCTGCCGCTGTGCCAGCTGACTGTTGCCATGGAGGGCGGAATGCAGGCCAGTGTTGCCTGAGCATCTCATTTTTCAAGAGAGATAGAAACTCCTGTGCTGCAAAACCAAGTGATCCAAACAAAACCTGTGTGCTGGATGAATTAGGGCATGGGATGCCAGTTGGCAACCCTGACACAGGAAATCATGTGGGGTTCACTCGCTCATCCAGTTTTTTTTCTGTTTTTTTTGAGACGGAGTCTCACTCTGTCACCCAGGCAGGAGGTGGAGGTTGCAGTGAGCCGAGATCGCACCACTGCACCCCAGCTTAGACGACAGAACGAGACTCTGTCTCAAAAAAAAAAAAAAAAAAATTTAGCTGGGTGCCATGGCACATGCCCATAGTCCCAACTACTTGGGAGGCTGAAGTGAGAGGATCACTTGAGCTCAGGAGATGGAGACTGCAATGAGCCCTGATCATGTCACTGCACTCCATCCAGCCTGGGTAATAGAGCAAAACCTTGTCTCAAAAATCAAACAAATAAAACAGAAGCACTAGGCCGGGCACGGTGGCTCAAGCCTGTAATCCCAGCACTTTGGGAGGCCGAGGCGGGTGGATCACGAGGTCAAGAGATCGAGACCATCCTGGTCAACATGGTGAAACCCCGTCTCTACTAAAAATACAAAACATTAGCTGGGCATGGTGGCACGTGCCTGTAATCCCAGCTACTCAGGAGGTTGAGGCAGGAGAATTGCGTTGCGGTGAGCCGAGATCGCACCATTGCACTCCAGCCTGGGTAACAAGAGTGAAACTCCGTCTCAAAAAAAAAAAAAACAAAACAAAACAGAAGCACTAGAAAGCAAGGCATGCCTGGAGCAGTGCAGTTGTTTGGTTTGAGGCCGTCTGGCATAGGTAAGTGCCTGGATTTAATCCTGGCTCACCAGGTACAGGCTGTGTGACTTTGGACAAGCCATTCAAGTTCTCTAAGCTTCAGGTTACTGTCTATCAAGTGGGGGAGAATAATGGCACCTAACTCATAAGATTGGTGTCAGGGTTAAAGGACATGGTCAGTATAACTCGCTGGCATGTAGTCAGTGCTCAATAAATGGTTATTATTATTTAGTAGTAAAACTATTGCCTAATACAAAGAATATCGGGGCAGATATGAAACAGGCAGAAAGGATGAAATTATGAAGGGTCTTAGATGGTGGCCTACTGAGTTTGGACTTTATCCTAGAAGTAGAGGGGAGCCAGTGAGTGAGCATGGGGAAGACCTGATAGGGTTTTTGTCAGGAAGGCCACTGGCTACAAGGAGGAGGCTGGGCGAGGTTCAGGGAGAATGTGAGCAGAGCTGATGGGGTGTTGGGGAGGATGGCGAGGAAACTCCCATTTGCAACATCGGAGTTTCTGGCTCTGCCAGTTGGGATGGGGAACATAGAGTAAGGAGCAGGTGTGCTGAGAGATGGTGAACTTTCTTTTTTTTTGAGACGGAGGCTCCCTCGGTCGCCCAGGCTGGAGTGCAAAGGTGCAATCTCAGCTCACTGCAGCCTCCGCCTCCTGGGTTCAAGTGATTCTCCTACCTCAGCCTCCTGAGTAGCTGGGATTACAGGTACCCACCGTCACGGCCGGCTAATTTTGTATTTTTAGTAGAGATGGGGTTTCACCATGTTGGCCAGGCTGATCTTGAACTCCTGACCTCTGGTGATCCAGAGATGGCGAACTTTCAACAGAGCCTGAGATGCACATGGAACACCAGGAAAGTTCCAGTGGTGATTTGCAGATAGGAATCTGGCTCCCCAGTGGAGATTACGGGAATTTTGGTTCATCAGGCATAGCTGAAGCTGTGGACCTGGCAAGAGACCTTTGGAAAATCAGGAGGTTGTGGGAGCCCTTGGAGAGAGCTTCGGTGTCTGTGATATGCAGAAGTGGAAGCCAGGTTGAGAAGGGAGCGTGAGGGAAGGGGTGAAGCAGCTGGCCACTGCATTCTCTCCTACAGTCTGACTGAAGCAGGGACAGGGCGACCAGGAGCCCACAGCTGGAGAGGGAGGCTGGGCAGGGGCAGGACGGTTTTCTGGGAAGGATGAGACTCCAGTCTGTGGGAGACAGTCAGTGGGAGGATGGAAGGTACAGGGGAGATGGAGGCCTCTGCAGAGGGAGAGGATGGCACAGGAGGCAGGGCTGAAGGGGACAGTGGCTCTAGACTGAGGCTAATGGGCCTGAAGTTTGGCCCCTTCCCCCTGTGAAGGCAGCATCATCTGAGGAGCTGTGAGGGATGGGCAAGAAGCAGCGGCTTGGGAGAGCCACCTGAGGTCCGTGGAAATGAAGCTGAGGGCAGGAGAGTTAGGACCCCACTGCTCTATCATTGCAGGGGGTGGGGTGGAGGGTGTGTGTGTGTGTGTGTGTGTGCGCGCGCGCGTGCGCGTGCGCACACACGGGAATGGATGGATTTGGAGGTCCTGTGAAGAAACTTCCTTCAGGCAGGACTGAAGCGTGAGGGACTCTGAGGGCGTGCCATCCATGCCAGCCATCCCCTCCTCACAGCCCTGCCTCACCCCCAAATTTCATGTGGGCCTGGGGCTGAGGTGCTTGGACATGTGTCTGAGAGCCTCTGACTCTGCTGCTCCACCCGGCTCTCAGGGGCTCAGGTCTGAGAGGCCTCAGCGGGGGCAAGGAGAGGAGGTGGTGAGGAGGGAAGGCTCTGGAGAAAGAGGGCATGGCAGAAGGTCTTTGAGGGTAATGGCAGGAAGGCCCAGGGCATGGGGATGAGGAGCTAGAACTGGGCTCTGAGCCCTCGTCTGAGGTTGGGGCTCCGGGACAGGCAGCCCCCTTAGTGATCCTCCCTTGTAGGTGTTTGGCCTTGGTTCCGTGGCCCATATGGTTCTAAGTAAAAAACATGGGAGCTACCTTGCTGTCAACTTGGCTTTTGGCTTCGGTGTCGCCATGGGAGTGCATGTGGCAGGCAACATCTCTGGTGAGTAACCCCAGGCCCTGCCGGACTGGGCAAGGCCAGCTGTCCCCCCACAGGCTCTTTCCTGTCCGCCCCAGCCAGCCCCTTCTCCGGCACAGCCAGTGCCTCTCCACCTGGCCACCGGGAGGGAGGAGGTCTCCTCCCAACCCCTCGTCTAGGATGTGTCTGCCCCAGATTCTTCCTGGGCCCCCATGACCTGTCATTTTCACTGGCTGGGTCACCTTAGGCAAGTCATTGCCTTCTCTGTTCCTCACTCTCCTTAACAGTGACACAAAGGCTGTGGCTCTGGCCCCACGGGGTGGTTGTGAGGGTCAATAAGAGAGCTGTCAGGAGCATGCTCTCTGTGCACACCAGCCATTGCTGTTCTCAGTACAGTTGTCATTGTTGTTGTTTTGCTCTCGCTCCCTGACACACTTGGTCCTGCCTGCAGGGGCCCACATGAATGCAGCTGTGACCTTCGCTAACTGCGCGCTGGGCCGCCTGCCCTGGAGGAAGTTTCCGGTCTACGTGCTGGGTCAGTTCCTCGGCTCCTTCCTGGCGGCTGCCACCATCTACACCCTCTTCTACAGTGAGTGCACTGCCTGGGTGTCTGCCTCTGGCCTCAGTCGCCTCCTCTGAAATTAGGGCAGATCGGACCTCACTGTCCTGGTTTGTAAAAAATAGCTGGGAGAAAAAAGCCTTGGAGCTCCTCCACCCTCTAACCTATAATGTCATTTCTGGGACCCTGTGGGGCTTCACTGGGGGCAGGTTCGCACGACAGTCTGTGTCTCTGCAGCGGCCATTCTCCACTTTTCGGGTGGACAGCTGATGGTGACCGGTCCCGTAGCGACGGCTGGCATTTTTGCCACCTACCTTCCTGATTACATGACATTGTGGCGGGGCTTCCTGAATGAGGTCAGTGGTCCAGGATGAGTACCCCTCCCCCTGCCCCCCACCCCTCAGGACGGAGCCAGCAGGGAGCCCCTCCTGATAGGCAGGTGAAGAACTCCGGATGGAGATTGTACAGAGATGCATCTCTGCTAGTGGGCTTGGATCTGGGGCACTGCCGAGGCCCTGTGGCTTGGGGAGGGGCCCTGGTGAGCTGCCACAGCATCTGCTCCTCAGGTGTGGCTGACAGGGATGCTCCAGCTGTGTCTCTTCGCCATCACGGACAAGGAGAACAACCCAGCACTGCCGGGCACACAGGCGCTGGTGATAGGCATACTCGTGGTCACCATCGGGATGTCCCTTGGCATGAACACAGGATATGCTATCAACCCATCCCGGGACCTGCCCCCCCGTATCTTCACCTTCATTGCTGGCTGGGGCAAACAGGTCTTCAGGTATAGCCCCTGCCTAGGCCCATTCTTTCGAGTTTTTCTGTGGGTCCCCTGCATGTTGAGGAGGTGTGGGAGTGATGTGAGGGGCAGCATAGGAGGGTCCTGCAGAGCCCCGTGGTGGCCTGGGGAGCAGGAGTGAGTCCCAACATTTCCCCAGAGCAGTACGGATACAGACCCCACACCTGCACGGAGTGTCAGCCCTGTCCCTGAATCGAGCTGAGGCCAACCAGGGCCCCGGGCTGAGCTGTCTCCTGGGGTATCCTGGGGATGACTCCTCTGCTCACCCTGTGTTGGCCTGAGGTGGATGAGGGTGCTGTCCTGGACATCAGCCCCCCTCAGCAGGCCTCTGCCTCTTGCCTGCAGCGATGGGGAGAACTGGTGGTGGGTGCCAGTGGTGGCGCCACTTCTGGGTGCCTATCTAGGTGGCATCATCTATGTGGTCTTCATTGGCTCCACCATCCCACGGGAGCCCCCGAAATTGGAGGACTCTGTGGCATATGAAGATAACAGGATAACCGTATCGTCCAAGATGGAACCTCACACATCCATGGCCTCTCGCCTCACCCCCGTCTCCATGAACCCTGACAACAGACCTTCAGTCCGCCTGGCCCCCACCTTACAGGAATCCATGGCGCAAGAACAGTTCTAAGTAGAGATTCTTTGTGATCCCACCCCCACCCCAATAAAGCAAGCCTTATCCCACAGCAGAACCCCACTTCCTAGGGACCTCCTGTGGTTGGGCTCCCCTCCTGGCTTCTTCCAGGAGCTCTAGGGCTATGCCTTAGCCCAAGGTGTAGAGGTGAGGCACCTCGAGTCTTTCACACTCTGGGAACTGGGATGCCCTCACTCTGGGAACTGGGATGCCCCCGGGAGAGAGCGAAGAGCTGACCTGCGCCCTCAGTAGGAACAGGGTGAGAGGAAAGAATGACAGAAATACAATGAGGGATTTTCAGGCACGGGGGAAGGAAGGGCAGTTTCGGGGAAAGAACCATAGCTGGCTGGCTGATGGGGGGCAAGCTTTGGAGATACTTTGAGGGGATCCTGGGATTGGACTCGAATTTCCCCTGGTTCTTCCATTCCCTGAGTTCTGGCCAGTTCTTGGAACAGACAAGGCAAGGCCCAAGAATGTAGATCAGAATTTCTTAGCCTTTTTTTCCATTAGTGCCTTCCCCAGTGGCCTTTTAGATATTTTTTTCTTAATCACATGAAATTTTAATACCACAGATATACTATGTACCTGTTTATGTACTGTGTATGTTCTGTATTTTATACATAAAAAAGAGTAAGATTTTTTTTCACCTCCCCTTTTAAGAATCAGTTTTAGGCTGGGCACAGTGGCTCACGCCTGTAATCCCAGCACTTTGGGAGGCTGATGCAAGTGGATCACCTTAAGTCAGAAGTTTGAGATCAGCCTGGCCAACATGGTGAAACCCCATCTCTACTAAAAATACAAAAAATTAGCTAGGCATGGTAGTGGGCATCTGTAATCCAAGCTACTCGGGAGGCTGAGACAAGAGAATTGCTTGAACCGGAGAGGCAGAGGTTGCAGTGAGCCAAGACCGAGCCATTGCACTCCAGCCTGGGCCACAGGAGCGAAATTCTGTCTCAAAAAAAAAAAAAAAAAAATCAGTTTTAATTCCCTTGAGAATGCTTGCTATAGATTGAAGGCTGGTAAGGGGTTGGACTCGTCTTTCTTCTTCCTGGTGCCAGAGTGCTCCTACGTGAAGGAATCCCACAGTTGTAAGGAAAATGCAAAGAGGGAAATCCTTCAAACACATGAAGACACAGGAAGAGGCCTCATAGGGCTCCATGGGCTCCAGGGAAGCAGGTGCAGAGGTCGGGTGGGGGTAGGGGGCCAGGATCCGCCAAGCCTGGGGTCAGGTAAGAATCACTCTGTTGCCTGGGGCTCAGAAGGCAGCATCACCCATGGTTCCTGTCATTGCTATGCATTTTGCCTTTCAACAATTATTGTGCACCTACTGTGTGCAGGCCCTGTCTGGACACTGGGGATGCCCAGTGGATGCACTGGGCTCTGCCTCTGATGGTTGCAGATGGTTGCAGTTTAATGGGGGACAGGTAATTATGAGGAAGAAAGTGAGTGCAGAGTGGGAGGCTTGGAGGCTGTGGGGTTCGGGGTGGAGGAGCTCACATCCAGCCTCTGGGCCAAGGCCAGAAGGCTTCCCAGAGGAGGAGACAGAGCAGGATGTGGTGGGGGGTGTCCTTTCTGGGGCTAAGAGCTGCACTTTACAGTTTGAGGGGATGGGCAGAGGAGACTGGGCTTCCTTCTGGAGGTGGGGGACACGGTGAGGTTTAGAAAGTGCACTTGATTTACAGTAACCTTGAAGGGAAAAAATTAAAAAATAAAGTGCACTTGAGCCACAGTGTGCAGGATGCTGGAAATGGTGGAGATGGGCCTGCAAAGAGAGTGGTGGGAAGCGATGACCCAAGAGCAGCAGCTGGGCACCTAATGGGTCAGCACTGCAGGCATGGAAACGAGAGACGGGATTGATCAGTACCCAAGAGGTACAATGTGCCGGACTTGGGCTCTGTTTGGATGGAGTGGGTGAGGGAGAGGGAGGAGTCAGAGATGGCTTCCAGTTTCCAGCTTGGGCCTGGGGATTGGAGATGTCCCCACTGAGAGTAGGGCACAAGTGAGGAAATGATAGGTTACATCATGGACGCGCTGAGTTTGAGTTGCCGATGGGACTTGGAAGGGGGCGTGGGAAAAGGTGTGTGATCTTGAGCAAATATTCCACCCTTCCGGGCCTTGGCCTTCTCATTTGTAAAATAGTGATAAGAATATTACCTACTGCCGGGCGCAGTGGCTCAAGCCTGTAATCCCAGCACTTTGGGAGGCCGAGGCGGGTGGATCACAAGGTCAAGAGATCAAGACCATCCTGGTAAACATGGTGAAACCCCGTCTCTACTAAAAATACAAAAAATTAGCTGGGCATGGTGGCGCGTGCCTGTAGTCCCAGCTACTCAGGAGGCTGAGGCAGGAGAATTGCCTGAACCCAGGAGGCGGAGGTTGCGGTGAGCCGAGATCGCGCCATTGCACTCCAGCCTGGGTAACAAGAGCGAAACTCTGTCTCAAAAAAAAAAAAAAAAAAAAAGAATATTA